CACCCATTAGTTCAGTTTTAAATGTTGTTGTTGTTGTTGTTGTTGTTGTTGTCTTCGCATTAAAAACCGTTCAGATCTCTCTCTACCCAGTACCTTCATATGTGCGTACTGATCCAACACTTGACGCGGTCGATTCCCGTGGTCACAGGCTAACTTACCCTAAAGAGGTACGCTAAAACAAACTGGCCCCGAAAGGTCCGCAAGTCAATAAAAATCAACGACAGATATTCTTTGGAACGGGGTGTTTACTTGCCATCTCTATGCAAGTTTCACAATTAATTTTGAAGCTTTTCTGAAGCTAGTTGAAACAGTAGTGTCATCGTTCGATATCCGTTCGGTGAGGAATCAATCGCAAATCATGACCCGTCCCCGAGTTGTAGCAGCTTCCGCCTCCTGGGGCCGGCAAGAGTCGGCCTTCACTGCTGTACCTTGTCTGTTTCGCCATGGGAATGGCCGGTTCAAAGCGAAAGAGGGTCCTGCGTGCTGCGCGCCACCACCTTTTTTTTTTTGCGTTTGTTTGTTGTTGTGATTTTCTTCCTGAGTGACCGTTGTTGTACACAACATGCGGCTGCTGCTGTACACATACTTGCGGTTGCTGCAGTATATGCTCGGAATGTGCTGAAAAGAAAGGTCGTAAGGTTATCGTCTCTGTTTTTTTGGGCTGCACGCGTTGCTCGCGTAGGCGATGCGCGTCTCCTACTTTTTTCCAGTGTCGTTGTCGGCAGCACAGTCAGTTGAAGAGACAAACAACAACAGACGGTCCGCCTTGTTTTGTTTTGCTGCATGCATGGTTGGTATGCATCGGCACGCGTGTTGCTTCCTTGCCTTGAGTCTGCTGCGTAGTCGTAATTTGAGCGATAGGTAAGCTAGATGGCAGCACAATCTTAGATACTACGTAGTGAGGTATGATAACCAACAGCTCGTTCGTGCAGCGGTGCGCATCTATGGCGGACGGCAAGCGTATTGCGATAATAGTTCGTCCGTGGTGCTATGTAGTCGTGCTCTTTTTAGTTCTCACTTCCTACAACAAGATAGTAGTCCACAGCTCGCACACGGCGACTGACTATATTTGTTTGTTGTTGTGCTTGTTTGCTGTTGCTGAGCCGACATCGGATATCGCCGTTCGATACACAACGTGACATCATGTCTGACAGCCTGCGGCGGGCCAGAGGGACGAGAGTGAGTGTCTTCTCGACAGAGTCAATGCCTTCTCTTCTCGAGAGAGTCAATGCCTTCTCTTCTCGAGAGAGTCAATGCCTTGTCTTCTCTCCGCTCTCGTATTTTTGTCTACCTCTCTTTCTCTCTCTCTCGCCTTTCGCCGGTAGGGTCCCAACAACATCGAACGTCAACCAACCGCAGTCGTTTCGCTTTTTGCTGAGTAAGAGGCTACCCGTGCATCCGGCTGCTGCATGTGAAGCGATGGGCGTTATGCCAAGCAATGGACTTGGGCCCTACCTAATATTTGCTCCATATGTAGTGCTATGTGAGAGTTTCCAGCGGTCCGGAGCGAGCGGCGACGGTGCTTTTCTTCTATGCGCTCTTTTGCCTCCTCCCTGAAGCCTGTCGCGTCTGACTCGTTTGTTCTCGCTTCTTTCTTTCTTTTGTTTTTCATGCTTTTGTTTTTTGGGGTCCCCCGGTTCCTGTGTGCTCATCGGGCATCTTCTTGGTGTCTACCTTGATTGTTACCCGCTGCAAAAATCGAAAGCTTCAGACAGGCAACGCGACGATACTCGTCGAGATGCCATACACAATGAATTCATTGCTAATCTGTCTCAGACTCTTTTCTATGATGGAGATGGATTCGTTGTGTCATATTAAGAAGAATAAACATAAAAAAACATCCTCGGTCGTTACTCTATCGATACCTCACACCCACCCCTACTCACGCCGACGCAGACACAGACAGGCAGACTCAGCTCTTTCGCCTGTGCTGTATCTGTTGTTCGTGCGTGCTGAAAAATGGTACATACAGCAGCAGCTTACCGCAGCAGGAGCTGCTTTTTGCTTGTTTGTACAGCTTTTCCTGCAGGGATGGCTCTTGTTGTGCGGCAAGTTGCATTGTTTGTTGTTGATGCGGACGAGAGGACGAGAGTGAGTGGTAGGCAAAAGCAGTACGTACCGTGTTAAAGGGACAGACAGAGTGCCTACCGTGTGTATGTAGACGTTGCATTTCGTGATTCCCGAGGATCGGATGTATGTGTTGTTTTTTTATTGCGTACCCGCGTCCATCACGACCATTATTGCGTAGTGTGTCGGCTAATTAAGGTCCTTCCCGTTCGTGGTGTCAGCACACGCGCAACACGCGACTAAAATAAAAATATAAAGCTTGGGACTAGCAACGCCGACGATATTCGTCGGCTTGCTTTCAACAATTTATGAGAATGAAGCGTGCGAAGCTGCGGTTTTAATTGGTGTATGAGCGGCAGGTCAGCAAGGTCACCGCACCATTTTCTAGCCTAGCTTTTAGAATGAAGTGCCGAAATGGACACAATACCAGTAAGGTCTTTCGCGAGGGTGCTCCTGTTTACATAGAGTCGTAGACTATTCGTTGTAAAGAAGGGAACCCCTGCTGTGGGAGTGGGCAATAGAACTTGAAGTGTCACGCGAAGCAAAACCAACAAAACAGCAGCACAGCATGACACACGCACAGGCCATGTCGGTAGGAGCGGTGACGCCACTGCTGTTGATGTTCACAAAAGCAGCGCGCGTGTGGTTCGCGTCAGCGCAATGTATTTGAGCCTGCTCTACTGTGTGGTACGTAATTAGTAAGAGGTTGGGTCAGTCGGGTGGACTGCGATGTCATGCACACCGTGACTTCATGTGGTGTCCTCTGGGTGCAGCCAGAGCACACAAGCCTCGCCAACCGTTCCAGGCCGCCTTCGCGTGAGCTCCTGCAGAACTCCGCCATATTTTTGTGCATGCAGTATCCGGCACGTCTCTCCTTCTCCGATGCACGCGCGGAGAGCGCTCAAGTGCAAACACTTCACAGCATATCTGGTATTTCTGTTGTGTATGAAGAGATTGGGGGGATGTGCTGATGTGTGGCTTTGGTGTGCATGCAGGGGACAGAGAAAGAGCATTTTGCTGGATAAAGGCAGGGGCTCCGCGAGGTTACACAGCAAAACGACACGACGGTACCCGGCCTCAAATGAACATGACAGTCTGTGATGATTGATTGTTGTAGTCTATGCATACAGCGGCAGTGCAGGGCAGAGTGTAGGCCCGTCTTTGCTGCTGCTGGTTGGTCATGGTCATGGCGGTAACGCCCGCCGGCTCTGGTTCAGCCTGGAGCCCTGGAGCCGGAGTGTATGCTGGATTTTGCGCTTCGCCTTATCCCCCGTCCGTGGCGCATGGGGTCCTTCGGGAACGTCGTTTGGTGAGATCTACAAGAGAAACAACGAGATGCGGAAAGAAACACTCCCCCCCCGCTCCTAGTTCCTAGCTACGAACCGCCCTATGATGAGCCATCGATTTCTCCCACGGGAAGGTATGCCGAAGCCTACGACACAGTACCTTCGGAAGCTTGTTGTGGCAAAAATTACCGCGATACCGCTGGGTCGAAAGTGCGATCGGAACCCCTCTCCCTTGCAATGAAGATTTTGGATGAGATCATCGACGTACGTTGCGTGCACGTACAGCAGGAGATAGAGCTGTGCATGTGTAGTGTCGTCAACGACGGCGTGGTAGGAGAACTGATCGCCCAGGTGGCTCGGTTGGTAACCTGGAAACCCTCTGACGGCTTGGTCGGAAGTTCAACTCCCAGCGAAATTACTTCGTGTCCGAACACGCAATCTGTAGTGATGAAGCCGCTGCTGTGCAGACCCTTATATGTAGGGTCCCAAGCAGTGTACAATGTAGTTCCTCCGCGCTACAAGCGAAGTCTGTACGTCTGCGCTGCAGCGCGGAGACATGCTGGACTATATACATTGCAAGGACTGCCAATTTTACCAGTGACTTTACACGGAGATCGCGTTAGTGGTGGGTGTTCAAAATAGCTGTATACAGCAGTATTATACCCGCCCCACCCATGCCGCCCCCCCCGGTGTTTGCGATTGGGGTTGGGTTTTCGTCGCTTGGCAACGACGTTGTAAAACAAGCCAATTCACTTCGTGAACTTGGCAACCAGTTCCCGCTTCTTTTTTTTGACGTCTTTTTTTTTTTTTTTTTGCGGTAACCATAATGGTGGTCGAGTAGATCATGTTGTACGGGGTCGAAAACCCTCACTCCGCGCAAGAGGGGTGATCGCACCACGTTGTGTTAAAATGTTCTAGCATCCTCGAGGCAGTTATACAGCGCTTATGACTGTCTCTGGAAGTGAAACCACCAGACAATAAATTAAGTCATTCGCAGCTGTCATCCGTACGCAACGAAGTAAGCACAAGATGCCGAACACCCTTAGCAGGATGCAGCTCACCCTTCATGCGACTCGCCGATTACCTCACGGTGCTTCGCGCTTGGTCATGTGAGAACCTGGTCCGGTGAGAACCCGGCGTGCTCCGTCCCGGCTTTGTAGGGATGCGAGGTCAATGGTCTAACGACTACGGCATGCACGACTATGAGTACCCCCCTCCCCCCCCCACGACGACCAATCCCAAACGAACTTGTTCCTAGTCTCATCCCTCCTATGCCAAACTCCCGGCGAGAGTGGGGCCACAGCGGCCTGTGTCGGCCATTCGTGATCGGCGATGCGGCTGCTTCTATCTACCGCAGCATGAGCATGGCGTGGACGAATGAGAGGGCGAAACTGCCTGCGTTACGAAGACCCACGGGAACAGAGTGCAAAATTGTACCACTGTACATGTACTATGAAGCGTTCTCGCGTTCAAGATCGTTGCATGCATCACAGAGCAATTCCTTCTGCGTGACGCTGGCTCGGAGGCGCTCATTAGGAGAAGTGCGAAGCTACCTTAGGGCAGACAGAACTTGCAAGAGGCTGGAGCAATGTGATTGAAAGCCCTGAAGCAAACATTTTTTCTCGTGCTTTTGTTCCATCCTTCCGCTCTCTCGCCTTGCACGTAATCATCCCTACAGTGCTGCTCGTTATCTGGAAGCACATTGCTGTGTTCCTACGTGAACACTTCGTCCATACTCCCTACTCGCTGTCCACGCTCGTCTCGCACTGGACAGGGAAAGGCCACGAGGCTTCGTCCCCAAGCCTGGATGCAGCTGGGGCGAACCCTCTCGGCCGCAGAACCACCCCCAGCAGCAGCAGCAGCAGCAGCAGCAACGCTATCGCCACCAACAGCTTCGTCCACCGGCTACTCGTCGCGAATCAACCACCCACGACAACGGCGACGACAACGTCCACGACTGCACGGCGTTGCTGCCGAGAGGGGCGCCTCTTCCACCTCCCCGCACCCGCCGCCGCCGCCGTCGGAGGCGTTCTCGGGGAGGCGGGGCGCAGAGTGGGCCGGGTGGGAGTGTCGGTTTTCTGGGGAGGACGGGAAGCCTGTCGCTGTCCCGGAGGACTACGTGCCCGAGTCGCTTCGGGAGTGGGACGTGGAGGCAAGCAAGCTCTCCGCTCTGTTTGTATTGCTGTAACTTGTTTGATGAGTACTATGACGCCCTTTTTCTTTGCGCGCGCCCTCATGCCGTGCTTTTGCCCACGCACGCACTCACGCACGCTCACTGTGGTCGCGTGTATGCAGCGATTGGGCGGAACTCCGCGCGCCCTTGATGCCGTGCTTCGCCCAAGCTCTAACGAACACGCGCTTTCTGTTCGCCTGTAGCGGTTGGGCGGAACTCCGGTGATCCGGTGGCGCGACAAGAAGGAATCGTCTTCCATTTTCTGGGTCCTTTCCTTTTGTGAAGACCTCTCAAGAGAGAGAAAGCGCTGGATTTACCTCCTTCCAAAAGGCACAGTACCTGACCCACTTCGTTGATAGTTGTGCCCATCCTCTCCACCATCCGCTGTGCGGAACCTCTCTGTCTGCCCAGTAAAAAAACGGTTGTACACACGTATCCATGGGTTTTTGAAATGACGGCGCCCCCGACTCGATCAATACCTCTTGTTGTCGGAGAACTACCGGAACCATGTGGGCACCGACACTCCCGCGTTACGCTGGTTACCACCCCCAAAAACAGCAGTATTGACTGTCCTCGTCATCATGGCCGGCATCCAGGAAGCTGTGAAAAGGCCCGGAGACCAACACTCGAGAATCGTGTTTTTTCTGTGTCGTGAGTGGCGGGTTGAGAGTGCTGGACACGAAATGAAATGCACGGCGGGACACAGGCGCACTCAAAGCGCGCAGTGGCGTGTGTGCTCCAAAGCATAGGAGGCGGCGACCACCTCCACCACCCACCTGCCCCGCCGAAGTTATCTGTTGCCGTCCCCCCTTTGTCCCTGCTGCCTAGCTCCTGTGGGCACGGCGAACACACACACACACCGCCGTCTTTGGCGCTGACGATACCCCCCCCCCCTCCGCGCCGCCGACTTGATTTACTCAGGTGTGGGGTTTCGAAACGCTCACGAGCGAGCAGCTGCGGAAGGGGGAGGAGCAGGGCGACATGGACGGGGGCGGCAGCTGTGCGGATCTACTCTACCGCAAGCGGGGCAGAGTCTTCCCCGAAACCGGGTGCGCCCTGGATAACCTGTCCCTGTGAGTCTCAATGGTCGGGGGCGGGGCAAGCGCTTCTTGCTTTGAAGCCGTGTTTTTTATTAAAGTCCAGGGCCCACGAAGTGCTCTACGAAACCACGAAGCTTGCGTTGCGCGGAAGTTGTGCGGTGCGCACACGGCACGATGATGGTTGGATTGTTTACGATGATCTTCGCGTTTCACGCGTTGTCCTATCACCTTTCTTAGCCTTTTGGGAGACGTGCCGTCGGGATTGAACAGATTTGTCCTTGTGCCGTCAACCGCACGCACGAGCAAAGCTGCTGCTGCTGCTGCTGCTGCTGCCTGTGTGTACTGACGTGGTGGGATGCGGTTGTTTGTGTGCGCGTGCGCGTGCGCGTGCGGGCGCGATTTGGTTTGGTTCGACCTTTTTCTTTTCAGAGAGGTGAACGCCCTGACGTCACCGCTGGAAGGGGGCGACGTCTTCGTTGCCAGCTTTCCGGTCGAGGGGAGTTCCAGTAGCTCGGGAGGGGGGCACATCGTGGCAAAGGTGACACAGAGCACTACTGCTGTACACGGTGCGCTGTCCTACCCATGTCAGAGAGATTGAGTGAGCGAGAGACAGACGGGGAGAGGGTGGGTAGGAAAGAGAGAGAACGAGAGAGACAGAGACAGAGACAGAGACAGAGACAGACAGACAGACAGACAAACTGCCGCCGTTGTATGTATAGAGTCACTACCGAATACCACCGCAGCGCGCAATGGCTGCTTTGCCTCGGCACCTGTGTTAGCGGCGGAATTCCGATAGGAGGCAGCCGTGCGGTCTAGCCCAATGTGGCTTGGGTAGATACTCAATGGCAGGACCTCCGGCCGTGTTTGCTTGGCTTCGCGTGCTTGTTGGTGTGGTAGCGTATAGGCGGTGTAGGATGATCCCGTGTGTGCTGACAGCCACCACAGCAACAGCCGGCTCGTTAAGCGAGTGTTTCTAAACTCGCTTGCTCGCTTGCCGTATGCTATGTCTGTCTGTAGCTCGTGGACATGTGTCCAGCGGGCAACCACGCCATCCTCGCCATTCGCCGGAGTGTATTATTGGCACCCGACCAGACTCACTCCTGTCCTGCCCTGCTGGTACAGTATTCGCCACGTTTTTTGTGTTGGCGTGTGTTCGAGCGTGTTGGGGTGTGGATCCTGCTTAGCAGTAAGCCCGCTGTGGTTCATTGAGTACCGCACATGCTACCGAGCAGTGGTGTGCGCTAACATGAACAACCAAATGGTTGAATTCGAGTGCCTCACAGGCATCGGGCTCATGGCGCAGACCGAACAAAATTCAAATCAAGAATGAAATGTTGATAAATACGATCGTTCCGAATATGTACCCGAAAACTGACGGTTCGTTTGGTGAGAAAAATACAACAATACCCCAAGCTTGTCTCTTAACTGGAGCAAATTACTTGCTCTGGGGTGAGGGCCTACGACGGGCGGCGGAATTGCTCGGAGAAAATAAAAATCTTGACATGTGCAACTCGGTGTTTTGGCCTCTTGGCGATGTTTGACGCCTCTCCGGTGCCCGCATCTCCGTATCGTACACATATCAAACATTCACTCGCGCCCACGAAACCATACCCCCTGCTTCCTCTCGAGGACTCGTGGCCAATAGTCTACATAGCCGCAAAGGCATGCAAAACATGAGCACCCTCCCCGACGTCCCGTCCCGTCTTCAGCAACCGGCGGCGGGGTCCCCATCCTTACAGCTGGAAGTCGGCCTTCTGGTCCCCGGAGCGCAATTCACGGACCCGTCGATGTCGGCATCGACACCCGCTGTCGAAGACGGAGAAAAATCGGCAGCAGCAGCAGCGGCGGCGGCGGCGGGTTCCGACGGAGGACGAGAGTGCTCCAGGGCTAGGGTGGAGGTCCGCGTCGATGGCGGTGGCGGCGGCGGCGAGAACGGAGGGCAAGGCACTGGTGGGGCGGCGGCGGCGTTGGGGCCGATCGTGACGGTGACGCGGGAGCGCAAGTATCGCGACGACTTCGACGACGGCTTGCTGTACAAGGGTGAGCAGCGGGGTTCTTGGTCTTGGTCTTGGTCTTGGTGGGGCACACGGGTTCGCCAGGTGGACCGGTGTCGTGCTTTTTGCGTCATGCTTGTTGCGCGTGCGTGTGTGCATCCAAACACAAAACAAAGATTATAGGCCTTGCATCTCACTTTGTCCGGCGAAGAGAGAGCAGACACACACAGAGACAGAGACAGAGACAGAGAGAGGGATAGGGAGAGAGAGGGAGAGAGAGAGAGAGAGAGGGATAGGGAGAGAGGGAGAGCACGGTCAAACGACGGGATGGTGGCTGTTGACTCCCCCGCGTGTGACGCCGGCGGGTCGTGTGCGCCTTGACGGGACGGACACTCGAAAAAATTGACGAGTTTCGTTCGGGCGGGAAGGACCGCAGCAGCAGCACGGCTGACATGAAAGGCACACTACAGCACCCCCAGCGGGGCTATGCCAGCGCTTCTCCGCGCACGGCTGATTGACTACGCATGTCCTGCCTTTTGCCACCCCTAGACCCCCTTTCGGGTTGTGGATATTGCAAAACCCCGCGCTAGCAGGCGGCAGGGTAGCCCAGCCTCGACAAATTTGCGCCCATCATTCCTGTGACCCATTCGCGCCCGTCGTTCCTGTGACCCATTCGCAGCATCACAAAGCCCTTGTCTGGACGGGAACCAAGGAAGAGGAACGCGTGCTTTGTGAACAAACGTGGCTCATTTTTTTCTTTGTCGAAGTCGAATGCATGTACGTCCTCTCACCCGCCGTAAATACCGCGGCTCACCACAAAGCCTATGATTTTCCGTCTGAAGGCGGCGGGCTAGACTCCCAAAAGCTGCGCGGTCTCCTGCGGTCCAAGTGCTTCGCCGAGTACGAGGAATCCCCGACGACCGACGACTTGGCGGGGAACTGGGTCTCAGGACCGGGGCACTGGCAGGTATGCTCCCCCCACAAGCGGCGCCGTAGGTTGCGTAGGATACCACCCCCCTGGAACCAATTGTCAAAGCTCGTTTGCTTCACGGCAGACGGTGCCGAAAGTGGTGTGGCGTTGGGATCGTCTCGTCGAGAGCTTTTTCCGAGAAGACATGGTTTGTTTTTGGCTGGCGTCCTCTTTGATGGGGAGTAACTTGAAATTCGGTCCGGGGGGTGTGGTATCTTATGCAATGCAGTAAGAGGGTCTCATGGCACTTGGGACTCCTGTCCTATTTTCGGATTCGCCTTCTCGCTCTCGCCTCCCCCTTCGCTCCGACCACGTTCTTGACAGGAGAAAAAGGACAGTTCTTGACAGGAGAAAAAGGACAGTTCCTTTCTAAAGCGCTTGTGTTTGCATTGGTTGTTTCAATTTTGGGGGTTGGGTAGGCATGTCAAGCTGGCGTTGTGTTATGAGTGCCATGTCTGCACACCGTCTCTTACCTTTTGCTGGTGTGGTATTGTCACGTTCTTGGCCCGGGCACGTCGAAGCGACCGCGGTACCGTGCTGCTACTTTCACGGGTGGTGAGTGTGTGGTTCCATTGCGCCGCTTGGCCCCTGTCCGTGTTCGCTCTCGCACCTACCCATGCTTGTGGCGGGTGCGTCGATCGGCACTTTCAGCGCTCGATACACCCCGCTTGCCGCGCTGCATCTCCCGTGGCTCAAAACAATTTTCTCCACCTGGTTCTGAAGCACCACAACAATCAGCAACGATGTCAACTACATCACCCACAGCAGTATATTTTGCTACCACTGCTTTCGCCACCACCGCCACATTTACAGTGATGACAGAAAAAAAAAAAAATACAACGAGCTCTCGACCGGTTCGCTGCCTGCCTGTGTGTTCCCACTCTCGTCCAGCTGTTCCGCACCCACGCTGCGGGCGGCTCGGCCCCCCGCGCGTGCGCTCCCACGGGCGGCGGCGGCGCAACCTTCGACCGAGAGACCGCCGGCATCAAGACCCTGCTGCTGCCCGGCGGCATCACCGTGCGCTCGGGGCCGTGGCTCGGCGCCGCCGCGGCCGACGGGACCTCGAGCGCTCCGGAAAAAAGGTGGGGCGCCGCCGGGGCGGCGCTGGCCGGCGAAACGGCTGGGTTTCCCACCGAGGAGGCGGAGCCCTGGGCGGTGGAGGTGGGGTGGTTCGTCGTGGAGGGTGGCGAGGGGGGAGCGAGCGCCGCCATCTCGAGGGAGAAGCGGGAGGTCCTGACGACCGTGGTGGACGCGAGGACGATGACGCCGCTGGGGGCATGGAGAGGGGACGAGAGGCGGGGTTGACGGGCTCGGGGCGGCCGCCGGTCGCGTTTGATTCCTTCGCTTTTCTTTTGTCCCACCTGGCACCTTTGTTGTATCTCTCCTGTTTTTGCCCTCATCATACGCGCCCAAAAGCATGTACGTAGATTTTTTCAGAGACGACGGCGTCCTTGTTTTGAGATGCTATTTTTTTTTCCGAATGTTGTTGGGGGGCTGCGCGGAGGTGGCTAGGGAATGCTGAGCATCCGCCGTGGCTAACAGCGTGTGTCCAACACCCGGAGTGAAGAGTCTTTCGGCTGCACAGGCTTCTTTCAGGGCGCTGCCCTAGGGCTAGTCGCCGCAATAGGCGCGGACTTGCGCATGGGTACTATCTTAGATGGAAAGAGTGCGCGCCCCCGTGAGTAAATGATAGAATGTTTCACGTTGTTGTCGAATTTGACAACCAAGGACGGCTTTGGGATCATGGCTTTTGTTTGGTTGCGGTCCATGAAATCGCGATTTCATGCTCAAATATGCTTCCTCACGATACGTAGTTTTCCGATTTTACGGTGCATGAACCCAGCAGAAGCACCACCTCGGGGTGGTAGACACCTTGACCATTTTCAAAGCGAGGAAGTGGTGGCGTTGGAACCGCCTTTCCGAAAACGCATCGTTTGATTTGGACATCCTCGTAGACGTGGAGTAATCGGACCTTGAAAGTCGTTCCAGGCTGTGTGTGTGGCATGTTTTCCAACCTGCGGTTTGCGCCTCACATTTCGGATCGATTCCGTTCGTTCCAGATTCTCCTCTCACACTTGCCACCCCCCCACTCCGAGCACGTTCAAGGCTCAACCAAACGAGGCCGTCCCGCTGAGGGAGTAGGTCGCTATTTCTCCGCCCCGGTAATCCAACCGAAACGTCTTTCTTGCCTCGCGGGGGTAGATGGGTTGTAGGTGTGTAGACCGTACCCCCGTTTTCTCGCTAAATACTGGGGCGTCGCGGTTGAGTGCCTTTCTTCTGACGCTGCGTGGTCCATTCCCGCCAGGGGTGAAAAATAAGCAAATGGAGCTAGTCACGGCAGCACTAGCCGTGCAGCACAAGCCACAAAGGTGTCACATCGGCTTTGGAACCTAATTGAATAGTCCTTGAAACCACGCATTTGTTTATTTCCTTGTTCGCCTCGCCGGAGCGTTTTCCTACCCGGGGACCGGAGTGCCCTTTGCTGTGAATGTCTACCAGGCGCGCAGGAAAACACGACGCATCGGTCTTGACGTCAAATGACCATACGACAAGGCCACACAGAGCAGCAATGGTTCCTATCGTGGTACACGGTATTGTTGATCACCGTGTGCCAGGCGAGAGCAGGCGGCATTGGAGACTTTGCATGCACCCTTGACAATTCCGAACCGGTTGTCGCATCGCCTCCCATGCACGCCCATGCATTGCCGCTCAGTAGATGACGACATCTCCGCCTGGTTTATCGAACACTTGCGCCACGACACCATCACGCCGTTGCTTGGCAGGCGTTGCCGCGGTAGCCGCTCATGATCTGCGGCTTTTACGCCGCAGCGCCGTTGTTGCTGCCAACATGTGGGCGGGTTGGGGTGGGGGGAAGGCAAACACCCTGACAAGCGGCGCAACGGAAGAATGCACAACCCGATATATGCCGTGGATGGTGCCTGTCCATTGGTGCCGGTGATCTCCTCCTGAATACCTGCACAGCGCAAACCACCTCCGGAACATACGCGGCGCAATCACGAGTTCGCGCGTGGCCTCGTCGACCATTCTACAGAACCCTCCGCGTCCCACCTCCGCGTCCCACAGGGTCAAAGTGCGAAACGTTCCCTTCCCAAGTCGCCGCCTTGCGCTTGGCCAGCGTGACCGGTGCAGCTGCTCCTCGGCGCGCCGACACGAACACGCCGACGAAAATTATCACAGGCGCCGCCACCGCCGCCCGTTGCACACACCCTTATGCTGCACGGAGAATAGTCAATGTCGGCGGTATATTTTTTGCGTCCTATGCCTCCGCCGCGCGCTGGTCATGGAAATCCTTGGCGAACGTCTGCGCCACGAGGAGGGGGAGAACCAGCGTTGCTTCCGCGTAAATCTGGCCAACGGACAACAACAAAAAACGGTCGGGGGTGGGTGTGGTATTGTGTGTAGCGTGCGGCATTCGAGAAAGACAGAGAGAGAGAAATAGAGAGAGATACAGAGACGGAAGGAGGGAGAGATAGCAGCCCGGGTTATGCCCTCAAGACCTTAACTGCCGGGTGAAGGGGGAAGGCCTGTTGTCGTGGTTTGCTTGCGTTGGTCTTGCTACCATCGTTGAGGTAAAGACCACGCACATCTCGGGCTATAGACGGACGTAGCACCGGTAGGCTCTGAAAGAGCATTTCTAGACCTAGTCTTCTCCATGCACTATGTTCCCCTCGTTATGCAAGCTGCAACGTTCTTCGCGTTGCCGCACTCGCCTTCGTTAAGGCCAACAATGAATTGAGAGTCTCCCGGGACGGCCTGTCACTCCCATCTCTCTGCTGAGCGATTCTTATGTGGTGACGGAGAGGAGGGGGACGCCACACCAACGACTTCTCCGAAATATCTCGGCCGATACAGACCAAAGATGACCGTCGCCTTCTCAACTCACAACAGCGTGTATCCCCCGGTTCCCTGTGAGGATAGACGTTTCGTTTGCCACATTTCTGAAGCCAACAAGAGAGGGGCGCGGGGGGGGGTTGCCCACCTTGACAGGTTTAGCGTCGAGCTTGATCTTGCCCCACGACACCGCCTCGTCCGGCCTCGCCCCGGAGTCGCTGCCGTCGTATTCTTGACCTGGATATGGATATGTACACCCGAGAGAGAAACCCTCGAATCACCACTCAGGTCATGGTTTCCTTCTGAACGCGAAAGAAAGCCCAAGGCGGGGATGGTGGCACGTGTACTAGTCCTACCCACACCCCGGATATTTATGCTACGAAGATGGGGGCGAATACTCGTATTTTGTATTTGCCTTGAAGTCTTGAGGCCTGTCCACGTAGCAGGTGAGACGGAACTCTCTTGTCACTACGTTAGTCCAATAGTAGAGTACACTTCCGACCTCTGACTGTTCTCTTTTCGATATATCAATGAGTACATGCTTCACAAAGGGAGAACGCTCAATGTTACTAAGTTGGTCTCATCAGCAGTGCCCAACGCCCAGGGGAGGCGGCAGTAACCACGATTTTCCTCGCCAAGCGTGAGGGTGTAAATAAAGGAAGGCATTCCTCAAAGCAGCGACCCCACGACCTGGCCAAACAAAGTTTTCTCCCCCCGCATGCTCCGTAAGTACAACAACTGCTCCGACGAATGAGCTCTTCAGCTCGGAACAGAAATCAAACCACCACCGACACGGAAAACTCCACGGGTAGATTACCTGTGTTCATAAAAACTGCAAAGTCAGCCCCGTTCCGCATAAGGTTCGCGTTGCAGACGTGGTGCTTCACCACCCCCCCCCCGACAATGATCATGCCGGTGCACGGCGCCCGAACGGCGATGTCGTTTATTCGCTTCACGTCCCCTGGGAGATACAGCGCGCGGGTGAGTGGTGGTCAAAGGGGGTGCAGACACGAAAAGCAGATCCGCCATCTTGCCTCATCGGTACCTAGGCGGGCGGCGCAGATCCAAACGGTTTGGAGTAGTTTCTGCTTGGAAGAGGCAACCTTCGAAGCCACGGCACCCAGGGGAGGGATGATCAATAGGCTTTTTTTTTTATGCTGCACGACGCTTGGGGAAAATCCCAGCTGTTTTCAAGGGGCTTCCCCCCCCCCCCCCCCGTCAGCCTTACCGGAGATGTCCAGGATAAACTCCGGGCGCTTGTACTTGTGGAAGTAAATCATGTCCCCTATCGAGCCGTCCGTCAACGCCGGGCAGAAGACCGGGATATCGTTCTTCGCGTTCCGCATTCGTCAGCAGAGAGGCAAGGTAAAGCACACGTGAAGACGGGGAGGGGGGGACGGGAGGGGGGGCACACGGAATGTCCTGGGAACGACCTGGGTCAACGGTAGACTAACGCCGCCCATAGAGAGAAGCTTGTTTTCCGCCCGTGGTCAGCAGCGGAGCGCCGAGGGGTGTCGTTCTATGCGAAGTGCTTGCGAACACCGAACAAGCAAGAAAAAAAATTCGACGAACAGCGGAAAGCATGACTCAAAACTTGGCAACATGGGGCAGAGCAGAGCTTAGGCAAGCGTCGGAATCGAGAGATTGCTGAAAATTACCCCCGTCTTCATGCACAGAAAAATGCGCCCAGCAGCAAGAGGGGCACAGGCATTGGAAAGAACGACTAGATTTAGAAAGAAAACCAAATATGCCCGGCAGCAGCACACTTGCAAGGACGGGTGGGGTCCACCGTCTGGATGGCAAAATTTCGACGGCGGCAGTCTGATGAATGCCAAGATGGGGTGCGAGGCGTGCTTGTCTGTTGCTTCGTTTAATCATTCACCCCCTCCTCTTTTTCGAAGCAAGGCAAACGAAGGCCCACCTTCGCGCACCAGTAGTAGATGGACTCCTCGTTGTCGATCTCACGGCCAAGACGCTCGATCATCGTCGAGGGCGTCCACACCACCTTGTCAGCCTCCTGCTCGTCGGTCATCTTGTTCAAGATGGGCTGTATGATGGTTTGAGTCCAAAAGAGAGGGGGGGGGGGGGGGGGTACTCATGTAAATGCATGCCGTAGTCGTTAGACCATTGACCACGCGTGCGCCAGAGGACGGGTCTTGGTTCCCACAGGACCGATCGCCGATGGCCGATCGTTCCACATCGAACGATCCATACACTTCAATCGAGAAATGATGCGTGTTCCGTCGGGGCGCAGCGAAACAGGCAGAAAAACATGTTAATCCAGTTCAACCTCTTGCCGTAACGGCGACTGCCGACTGTTGGCCGTACCCAACAAATGGTTGCTCTCGCACCACACTGAGACAGACCAAGCGACCCAGCAAATACGTGCTGTCCTTGCTGCAATGGCTCTGTCTAAACAAACAAAAAACAAAAAAAGACTCACATTAAGCCAGTCCTCGAACTCGCAGTAGTTTCTGTTCTCCACGACCAAGTTGCCGATGCGGTTCTGCCCCTTGAGCCGGAGGTCTCTGCCCTTAAGGTTGAAGTCACCCAAGTACGTCGGTCGCAGGCACTTCAAGAAGTCCTCCTCTGTCGTGTCGCCAGCATGTTTTTTTTTGTGTTATCAAGGCGCAATCGTGATGGAGAGCAAACAGAAAAGAACAGGTGGTTTGATCGTGTTGATGGCATTGCACGTGTTCCAACAAGGTAGGTATTTGTTCACAAAAGTGTGGTTATCGTCGAGGGGGGGAGGGGGGGTGAACGGGTCGCGACCCAAGACTAGCCCGCTATCGACCACAAAACAAAACAAAACAAAAAAGGGCGAAACGACCGGCCTGCTACCGTAGTACCGACCGAGAACTGGAACCAAGGGTATCTCGTGCCTTGGTATGTGAATTTAAACATTCATACTCTCACACGCCTGCATACCGAGGACCGCTTCCTCGGACTTTGGACCCGTTGCCTCAGAGGCTAGACAGGCCCATATTGCAATGCGCGCGCCAACGCGTTGGGCGCAAGAGAGGTGGCCGCACCTACGCCCCCGGCCGACGTGACGATGCAGTCGACCATCTTGTGCTGCGCGAGGAAGCGGATGGTCTCGCGCACGCCGCACGACACCATGTTGGAGGTGTACGAGAAGAAGATGGTGGCCTTGACCCCGGCCCTCACGGCCGGATCCTTCAGGTCGTCGTCCTCGTCCGGCTTGACCGGGCGGTCGCTCAGCCGCCACCTTCGCATGCGGTTCACCTCCTCGACGGCCTTCGCCAGGTTCGTCGCCTGGGTAGTCGGCCGGCCGTGGGGAGAGGGATGGATGGCGAGGTGCTGCTTTTCGGTCATCGTCCCTTACGCTGAAAAGATGTGTCAACTGCTGTGTGCGCTAGTTACAGGCGGCATAGGTATCTTCCAGGCTTCCAGGCATTGATTGCCCCAAGACCGTGAATGAAACCATTTCTTCAGCCGAAATGTACAACACCCCTTTTTCTTGGCCTTGGGGCGGAAGGAGATAATAATGAGCCGCGGAGCGAGCGAAGCGAGCGACCTTTTTTCCCTTCTCATCCCCAGGAGGGAAAAAAAGGCTCTATATATCGGCCAAAGTTTCGCCGCGTGATACAGGGGCCCCAAAACTCGATTTCCGTGACGCATATTTATCGTACCGATAGGGCACCGTTTGACGATCTGTTCACTTCTGAGCAAGATGAAAAATTTCGCGCTCTTCGTCACACCCGTTTGGTCGTGCTTCGGCAACAGGTGGCCGTGCTTCACAGGCATGTGGCCCAATTTCGTAGGAGATCGCATCCCCGCATGCCCAGGAGTTGTGTGGAGAGATAAAATGCCCAAGCTATCGGAGATTGCACACTGCACACACACACAGACACGCGGTAGAGTTCAAACCCCGGGAGGACAACACCACATCATCAGAAGGGGAACAACAGGACGCTGATCCGAGACCAGCTATCTATGATAACCAGGAGGGGCCGGGCCTATACGACCTGTGCGCCGTGGGTATAGTCATGCGCCGTGTGTAACCTGGCGGGTGTTTATTGGTGTTGGGTGGTCCAACCGAGAGCTCCCAAAACAACAAACAAGAACGATTATTATAGGGAAAACGACACAACAGGGTATACCCTGGTCGAAAAGCGACACACCTGGGTACACAGTCATTAACAGCAGTAAATGCATTCATATGATTGGTCAGCGCCCAATTTCACCCCGGTACGTCCGAAAAGGCGCAGGGTATACCCTGCTGTGTCTACTTTTCTCACCAACTGTACCCTGTTTTCGGAAGTGTACCCTGACCTGACGGGAAATAAGACCCATTCATCAATCATTTCCCCCGCAGGAATCTTCCCAACTCCTTTTCCCCTCCAACCATGGGGTACCAAACGGCGAATCTTCCCACCCAATAACAACCATGGCAACGCGGCAGGAATCAGTTTCCGCCCCTGCCAAACAACACCAACCATCAACTCTTCCGCTCTAAATCAACAATGGCCGGGCACTACCCCAGCACAGCAGTTGTTCCGTTTGGAAACATGCACACACGTGTACAATACCCCGTGCACCACTGCTTGCTGCAGTCTATCTATATGCGACATGCACGGGTCACGCTACGAAAGCGAGACCGATCTAGCATGGTTGACATGCATATATATGCATGCATGTGCCCATGATGTGTGGCGCTGCGCTGAGAGGGCGGAGGAGAGAGGCAGCAACACCACACACAGACACGCCCTTGACATCAATCATGGAAGGAGTAGCGAGTGCTAACAACTCTAGCAGCAGGACTGTGTCGTCCAACTCAATCACCCTCCCTGTGCTCGCGGTGTATTTCATCGGCTCATCCCGCTGAAGCCTGACGTCTTCTTACTACATACATTGATTGGTTGGTCGGCTTGGTCGGCTGGGAAGGGTCGGTCTTAACGAAGAAATCACATCTCGAATTCACATTTGGTTATAAGAATGCATGAGTCGGATCTACCTAATCCGGACAAAATGGCCTGTGTCTTAACGGGAGATCTGCCAAATGGAAACGAGTCTCTGCAGTCCACCACGAACAACCCGAGAGGTCCGCCGCTTGCCAACTGCCAGATTGCTGTTGTGACGTACTGTTATGACGTGGCCACACCAGATGGGGAGCTATCGCTCCCGAGAAGCACACACCAAACGCGTACATGGCCTCTGCGCGGTACTGACACGATGTCCATGCATGTGACACTTTGAATCGACCCTTGTCCGAAGGAAAGCCGCCAATTCGTCTGTGCATTTGAAGTTCGACAACCAACGGGAGATTGCCCCACAGACCAACACATCCCACACACGTTTTTTTTCGGGACCAGTCACGTGCAACAACGATGCGCAGTCACCATCCCGTTGGGTTGGCTTTTTGTGCTCTTTCTTTCCTCTGTGCTCGGCGGTGGATGGAGTTCGTGTGGATGGGGGTAGGTGGGCACGCGCCGTGTATGCGAGTAGACCGTGGTCCCGCAACTATGGACGCTGTTCACCCAAATCGGGATCCGATTAAATGATTTCACCTTTTTTCAAATCCCGATTTGGTTTTGGGTCGTCCTGTTATAAGTCCTGAAGATTCGACGGGTTCCATAACATTTCAACCAACCAACGAAAGGGTTCTGTGGATCTTCTGGTCTTATAACCAAATCTGAATGTGATTTCGAGATCTGATTTCTTCGTTAAGACAGACCCTAAGCGCGACCGCTGCTGTTACAGCAGTAGTAGTAGTTCAAGCAAGAAACACATCGCAATTGAGACACAACAGACAACACACCCACGCACACATGGCACAGGCAAGAGGGAGTGGCGGCGCCCAACGTTACCGGTGTAGTGCTGTGTCCATACATGCATATGTATGCATGTCAACCATGCTAGATCGGTCTCGCTTTCGTAGCGTGACCCGTGCATGTCGCATATAGACTGCAGCAAGCAGTGGTGCACGGGGTATTGTACACGTGTGTGCATGTTTCCAAACGGAACAACTGTGCTGGGGTAGTGCCCGGCCATTGTTGATTTAGAGCGGAAGAGTTGATGGTTGGTGTTGTTTGGCAGGGGCGGAAACTGATTCCTGCCGCGTTGCCATGGTTGTTGGGTGGGAAGATTCGCCGTTTGGTACCCCATTTAATGTGAAGAAAAACAACAACAACCCCATGGTTGGAGGGGAAAAGGAGTTGGGAAGATTCCTGCGGGGGAAATGATTGATGAATGGGTCTTATTTCCCGTCAGGTCAGGGTACACTTCCGAAAACAGGGTACAGTTGGTGAGAAAAGTAGACACAGCAGGGTATAAGCTGCGCCTTTTCGGACGTACTGGGGTGAAATTGGGCGCTGACCAATCATATGAATGCATTTACTGCTGTTAATGACTGTGTACCCAGGGGTGTCGCTTTTCGACCAGGGTATACCCTGTTGTGTCGTTTTCCCTATTTATCACAAACGAACAACACACAACATAACACACCTTCAAAGTCCAGAGATCGCACCTACCATCGAGAGAACCCGTCGAGGGTGTGAGGGGCTACTGCTGCTGTGCATTATCGGGATGGTTCCCCGCAGGGTCGGTTCAGGTTGCGTACGTGCGCCGCGCTACTGACTGTCTTCGCACAAGGTAGACTGCTTGCTTTCACTTGGCGGGAAACTCGGAAGGATTGAGACGAATGTGGCGGGCAAGCTGTGAGCCTGACGCAATAGACTGTTTGCCATCTGTCTTGTCACAATCCTATGTCTACGCTGCTGCTGGTCGTGCTCCTCGACGGTGTGATGTGTGATACGCTCGCCGCCAGGTACATGCCGCATGCGTGCCTCTCTTCCAGATGCCCTGATGATTTGGGTGTTTTTTCGTCCGCACAGCGGGAAGACTTCACATTTTGTTTCTTCGTGAGGTGTTGTGTATTGTTGTTGTTGTCTTCACATTATGCATGTGCATCAACGGAAAAGAAACAGCCGCATGTAAAGTGCAACATTCTGAACGGGGCCGCACATACAACCATCGTCGCGCCCGTCGCACCCCTGCGGCCTGTCCCTCTGGTGCACGCGTAGCTGCACCACAAACGATTCACACTGCTGTGTGTCGGGATTCGTGCACCATCAGCATCGCAGGTAGGGCTACTGCAAGGTATTGAGTCGCTACCCAGCGGCTCAATACCCCGCCCTATCTAGTACATGCACAACGTGGTCTTATACAGTAGTGCACAGTCATTGTTGCTCGCGGTGTGACAACAACTTGCTACCTATCAGTATGGGGACTCTGCCACGAATTACACCACTTCTTACTTCCAACTCCCAACCTGTTCTGTCTAAAGTACGGTGCATGTCGCCGGGTCGCAGCGGTTCCTCCGCGCGTGCTAATAATGGTGATGATATCCATACGTGAAGTGCAGGGAGGTGCGGGGCTGAAGGGAGGATTCATCCCAGATTTCGTTGCCAGCATACAAGTACCGCGAACAAACAAGATTGGCAGCGAACCGGGGCCAGCTACCGCAAGGGTTCGAGAGGCTATGGTGCTCTCTCGCTGTCACATGCTCGAGAACCCCCGCGACATCCAACGGACGGTGGGCAGTTGAAGCTCTGAGACATTGAAACGCGAGAGACAGCAGCGGCGTGCCCTCAACACACCCATGAGGGAACGCGTACCTGAAAACCAGTCGTCATCGCCGCCGCCATGATACCGTCGAGGTCTCTGCCTGTGTTGAAGTCGAAGCCCTTGATGATCGGGGTGCCCTCTGCCACAGGGACGGACTTGACCATCACGGCCTCCTGAGCGAGCTCAAAAGCTTTGGCTTCTGTCGAGGTCAGAGACGCTGAAGATTCTTTCTGTTGCTCGGCCATCTTGACAACGGACAAACACACACACTGCTCCCTCCCTATAGATGTAGCTGCAGCAGCAGGAGCAGCAGGAGCAGGAGCAGCAGGAGCAGCAGCAGCAGCAGCAGCAGCACTTGACTCGGCCGTGGTCTGTGTCTTACGAGACGCGGTGCAATTACAAGTTTGGTTGATGATGGCCTCGTGAACCATTCTGCGAAACCCCGCGCGGACCAAAAGTTGCTGCCGCCTTGCACTTGTGCCCGGTGCTCCTCGGCGCGCAGACGCACACACCACCACGATCGATGAAGTTTTCCGTGGCAGTCACCACCTGCTTAACGACCTGTATTATTCTGAACAACGGCAGCGCTTCGGCCTTCTTGGCGTCAACCCCAACGCTAATCTTTCCTTCTTCTATTTCATCATCATGCGCAGTTCGCCCATTGGACACGGTATCCAATCGGCGTTCTGAACATGTAATATCCATACGTTTACCGTCTCCTAGGCGGGGAACAGCAGCCGAAGCGGCCCTTGCCGTGCCGGAGGTGGCTTCGGGCCTGCAAGATGAGCTTCGAAGGCTGTGCGCCACCAAATCCGAACCAGGCCGCGAGGCACGCATCGAGGAAGTTGCCAAGGTGTGCGGGACGACATGGCTGTAGGTGACGCTAGATATCACACCCCTTGGGTGAATCTTCAAAGCTCGATTTCTAGAGCAGATACGGTGGCGGTGCCGAAAACGGCGGAGTTAGAGCAATTTTGTCGAGAGCTTTTTGGAAACGTGTCGTTTTGTTCATGTAGGCTCTTCGTCCTCGTGGAGTGATCGAGTTTTGAACATCGGTCCCAGAGGGGGTGTGGTATCTTGTGTCACCTGCGGTACTGCCGTACGATGCCTACGATGCCTTCCGGCAGGCGGCCACGGTTCTTCCGAGAGAATGAGCGAGAGGGTCTCGACGGTGTTATACTCATATTGACCAGCTTCGCGTTTCTTGCAGTCATGAATCACGGGCCGGCCGACTGCTTTGCCCGGAGGGTTTCGAGGAACTACAACGAGATGCTTCCAAGTGCTCATCTTACGGCGTGACACTGCTGCCCACATGATCAATCCAGCACACATAAGATATGATAAAACCCTCGTGGTGGATGCATCCATGCCATGTTGTTGGCGTATCGTAAGAACCCTCTGATATTTTTTTTCGTGAGCGATTGGTAGGCACGCGGGGACCACTTCTAGAAGCTTGAACGCTGGTTGATTGCCGTGTTATTTTTTGTTCATTTTGCTGCTCGACAGGAGCTGAACGCCCTCAACCCGACGAAGGATCCCGCACGGTCTCCTCTGTTGGCAGGTACCACCTTGTGACCCCCCGTGGTTGAACAAAACTTTGTTGTATTGTAGACCGCGGTGTGTTGAGCAATATGGTGCGCAAGGGGAGGGGCGTACTCATGTTTTGCATGTCTTGATTGTTAGACCATTGGCCGCGCATCCTCGAGAGGACGGAGCATTAGCATTGTTCCCACAGGACCGGAGGGGGGGGGTGGGGGGGTGTACTCATAGTCGTGCATGCCGTAGTCGTTTGACCATTGACCTCGCATCCCTACAAAGCCGGGACGGAGCACGCCGGGTTCTCACCGGACCAGGCTCTCACATCACCAAGCGCGAAGCGCCGTGAGGTATTTGGCGAGTCGCATGAAGGGTGAGCTGCATCCTGCTAAGGGTGTTCGGCATCTTGTGCTTACTTCCTTGCGTACGGGTGACAGCTACGTATGACTTAATTTATTTTCTGGTGCTTTCACTTCCAGAGACAGTTGTAAGCACTGTCTAACTGCCTCGAGGAAGCTTGACCATTTTAACACAACGTGGTGCGATCATCCCCCGTTGCGCGGAGTGAGGTTTCTCGACCCCGCACAACATGATCTACTCGACCACCATTATGGTTACCGCCAAAAAAAAACAAAAAACGAGGTAAAAAAAAAAAAAACGGTAACCTGGTTGCCGAGTTCACGAAGTGAATTGGCTTGTTTTACAACGTCGTTGCCAAGCGACGAAAACCCAATCCCGATGGCAAACACCGAGTGGGGGGCTTGTTTTACAACGTCGTTGCCAAGCGACGAAAACCCCAAACCCCGATGGCAAACACCGGGGGGGGCGGCTTGTTTTACAACGTCGTTGCCAAGCGACGAAAACCCAAACCCCGGTGTTAAGGGGGGGGGGGGGGGGGGCGAAATTGTTGCTGCTCTCACCACACGTGGGGGAAACACTATACCACTTCACAGGGAAAGTTCGAGGTATGTAACATGCACGTACAATATTAGTTGCTGCAGCAGCCTGGGGTCTTTGTCTTGAACAGCGTGTACGTCGAGCGTCGCGCCTCGCCTCTGCTCTGTCAACTACCTTGCACAGAATAAAAAGTGGCCGTTTGTTTGTAGCTTTGGGCCCCCGCGACCTCGTCCGTACAACACAGCCTCGTCGGATCACCCACACACGACCACTGGCAAGTGCCACCAGGAGTATCAGTAGCAGCGTCGCCGAAATCGAAAGTGTCAAGCACAACGCGCATCCTATGTAAACACGAAGACAAACAGGACCCCTCTGTAGGATCGGCATGCCACGCATGGCCGCGGTGGTACGGTCCGCGACTTACAGCACTGCAGACACACAGGACGCCGCCTCGGCCATTTCTTTTGTGCGTGTCCTTGCTGTGCTGTGTCTTGCGAACGCAGGAAGGTGGCGGATGCTTTACAGCACGGTGCCGGGACCTTCATCCGGGCGACTGGGGCCGTTCGTTGGCGACGTGTTTCAAGATATCCGCCCCGATGAGAAGAGGAGTGAGTTTGTTAGTATTGCGATGATCTGCTGTGCAGGCAGTCATGTCGTGAGCTTTGACTACGGTGACCTTCCGCGCAAGCGGATAGATGCCGTTTGGCTTTTTCGACGTGTTCTCGTAAATACTGTCCCCAAAACTGTTCCTGGCCTGGATGGGAAAGCGCTAGTCCGTGTGTACAGAGGGAAGGGAGTGCAGTACTCTTCTCGCATAACAATCGAAGTCAAAGCACCGCAGGAGAGGTCAAGGGCGGGTAGGGGGCCTCAGCGAGAGGAACCCTTCTGTATGACCATGGGCTGGAGCAAACCGCACAAATGCCGTGAGCACTGATTTTCGAAGACACGAAACAAATACATACAACAACCGAAGAACGCATTCACCAAAAACACAACAAGCAATAGCCTAAACCCCCACCCAACCAAAATATGCTGAGATTGCCCGGTATACAGTCTACGTGCCTTCTTTGTGCGCAGAAGCAGAGGGAGTAGAAGATGACGACGCAAAGGTTAGGACAATCGCCCGCCCGCCCGCCCGCCCGCCCGCCCGCCACGCAGCTTGGCTTGCCCGCCCCCCCCCGCAGGCGTGTCCCGAGCCCGCTCGACCATGTTTTAGCAACCGACGGGCCGTTGCTCGGGCGCAGCAACCCCGATGCACGCCTACCGTGCGCATCCGAAAGCACCAGTACGCCGGCGTCCATTGGACAGGACTCGACTTGACTCAATCCGATGCTGCCACCCCAAACGATTCCTTGACCTTTGTCCCTGCTCTCCCGCCCAAACCTACCTCCGCGGTCCGTTACCACCGTAATCGACGCCATTTTTTCTCAACGCAGTTATCAACATCTTGGAGCTCGGACCAAGCTGGGCGCTGAGGGTGAGGGAGGAGTGTGTCCGGGTAATGCTGGCGAGAGACGAGGGGTATGCACAGCAGCCGCTGTTGTTGTCGGGGCTTGATGGATGGGGAAAGCGCACGTCGAGACCGCGTGCTATTGCTGTTTGCCTCTGTTTACACCGCGGCACTAGAACTAATGGTGCCGGCACAGCCTCCAGGATCCAGGTGTTTTCCTCGCCCGGTGGCGGCGGCCGTTCTATTTTTTATTTTTTATTTTTTTGCCGCCGTCGTCGTCGCCGCTTCCTATAGCCTGCACGGGATCGGCCCGAACCGCGTCGTATGATACGGCGATCGTTGTGTTTTGGTCTCTCTGGTTCCTCCGTCGGATTCCACGACGGATGGTGGGCCTCTTGGAAGCTTGCGTGTTGGGCTGGCTTTGGACCGAAACTCTGCCCCCATCGTGATCGTTGCCCACAGCCCCGTCTTTGTCGTGACGTACAATATGCATACCAGATAGGAATTTTAGTGCTAGTAGGATTTGTTTGGTTGTTCCGCCGTTTTGTTTCGTGACGTACGTGCATACGACTCTGGGGTCTGCTGGCTGGCTGGCTGGCCGGTCGGGCGGTGTGGTGCTATCGTCTGTTTTGGCAGGGTGCGTTGGAGGCCGACGTGGAGGTGCTGGACGGCAGCAACTGGGCGATATCCTTCGACGTGGTGAGTTCTCCGCTGAAATGCCATAAGCCTATCAAGCACACCTCCTCCCCCCCTTCAAAGACTTGAGGTGGCGCCTCCCGCCGGTCTCACTGGCTGGCGTTCGCGGGCGGTCGTTCCCGAGAACAATAGCGGGGGGGTACTGCTGTAGGTGGAGTGTCCACGAAGTGTGTGTGTGTGTTTTCGTCCTTTTTATCATGGCGACAGTTCCCCCATTTTTCGTGGTACTACACCCTTCAGTAAATTTAGAGTACTACCCTTTTCAGTGTATTTTTTCGTACAACTATAACCATCCAGGGTTACGCAGGAGGGATAGGGGCCGAAATGACAGTTCTCTTTCTTGGTGGTATGTGTCTTTTTGCAAGCATCGGTTGTGCGTGCAAGGTAAAGTGGAAGTTTTTTTTTCTGAAATCTACCACGAAGGAAAGAGGAGGGGGTACTGTTGTACCGTCGTCTCGAGGGATACGGTCCACGCTGCTGCTGTTGCTGTTGCTGCCCCCCGAACAAAAGAAAAAAAAAAGGATGAGGGTGCACCTTTCGCATCAGCGATGAAGGGCGGTGCCATTAAGACCTCCAGTGATGCGAGACGGTAACTCTTTTCGCTTTGCATGCCTTTCTTTTCTGTCGCCGGGTCGAGCAGAACACGGTAGTAGCTGAGTAGGCCGGCCATTTCAACTACTGATTCGATACTGCATGGCGATGGGTAGTGTTACTGCCCCCTACTCTTGACGATGCCTTCCGTCCTTTCACACACACACACACCCTCCCTTGTGGGCGGGTCCTGATTGCCGCAGGTCTACAATAACTTCGCGGGCGTGAAGGTGCAGGAGAAGAAGTTCGACCCGGCGGTGACTGAGCGGCGAATCTGGAGCATGACCTACCTCGATGACGGCTTCCGAATCTTGTACGGCCGACAGGAAGCGATGTCGGCGGAGGAAAGCTTCATCTTCGTCATGGAGAGAGACAGGCAGTAAATAGTTGAAAAAAGAGAAGGTCGGGGCTCACTTTCGTGTTGCGACTCTGGGGCGCTGTATGATCCCTGCTGCTGGGAGGTTAGTTGCTTTGGTTGCTTGCATGCACGGTAAGATAACTGCCATTGCGTCGAAACGGCCCAAAACACCACCACCGGATGGCACACACGGTGCTGGGAAAACATTTCGGCCCGCCTCTCATTTTCGTTAGAAGCACAGCAAAGCAAGGAGACAAGAACAGGCTCAACGCAACACACATGGACTCAACAGAGCAGCAGGTGACTCTGCCATACCACCACACGCCTTCCATGATTTTTATCTTCCATTCTTATCTCTGTCTCGCTCATCTGGACGGGGAGAGAAGCGACGACACTAAGATCCCGCCCGCCCTTTGAGGAAAATGGAAACACCTTGGGTGTTTGTGTTAGGGCCGTCCCTCGAAAAATGTAACTTCATTTCGACTCCCGCAAACGCAAGAGACAAAACGTAGTTAGCATTTTTTCCGGCTTTTCGCAACCAATCGTGGGGCAGCAGCAGGGAACACGACCATGCCCCCTCCCCCTCCCCCATGAAAACAACTGACTTACTACTCTCGTTCTCACGAAAAGTCTGACATTCATCGTCTCTTTGTCGGTGGAATTGATTTCTCTCTGCTGGTAAAACTCAACCTCAACAATTGGCTCTACAAGCAAGAGGAGTGGACTCTCCCTCCCTCCCTCCCTCTAAACGCCTCTCCGAGCAAAGCGCAGACAAAGAAAACAAACCGTAGTAAACATCTAAACACCCTCGTCGCGGCTACCGCAGCAGGGAAAATCCAATCGCTTGCATAATGAAAACATACCGTTCCTACCCCCCGCCCCCCCCTCAACACTTCCAAAACAAGAGTCGGGGGGGTCGCGCCCGGTAAACAAACGGTCGCCCACCACAGCAGAGGTAAAAACATCCACAGCGGCATAAAAACCCGTGCGCGAAAACAAACACATACATTGCGGGTTGGGTTTGGCGGACGAAATAAATTATCGTAAATAGCAACATCGTGGCGTGAAAAAACTTGACGGCATCACCCGCTCCCTCTCTCCCACTACAGGGCGATGCACATCTTTGGTACAGCAAGTTGCTTGTTGTTGTGAAGATACGTTTTCCCCGCCATCGCAAACCAAGAAGGAAGATAAAAAAAGTAAGCTGGCTCAATTTTAACTCACGCTCGAAAAAACTCTATCTACCGACCGCCAGATTGGTTCTCGGCGTCCAGAAAGAAGGAAGCACGCGGGTGTTCTTTTCGTCCGTAGCGGCTCTGAGGCAACACCCCTCCTCTCTCCCCGGCCTGCTCTCTTGCAATATAACCGATCCAGAAAATGTACATACACGAGACCAAACGGGGGGCGAGGATGACACATTTTTCTCCCCTCCCCAGTTTTGCCTCGTTGACACCCTTACTATTGCTGCTGCTACCAACGGTCTTCGTAAACAAACGTCTTGTGCCTCTATCCCCCCTGCCCCCCGTCCAACACTGTTCGCTGCCCATGTCAGAAGAGGATACCATCCTTCCGCGCAAGGGACAATTGCTCATGTTCCTCTTTCCTCTCCTTCCTGAGGTGGGCATTCGAAACACCAAAACACCAGAACCTGCCGCTGCGCATGCAGCATGAGACAGCAACAGCCCGCTAGGGGGGGGGGGGGCTCCCTGCCGGAATCTATGGACCAAACCGGCTGAAGCAAAAAAGAACTGATGATGCCATGGAATCCCAAAAAAAACATCCCGTTACCCCCTTGTTTACTCCCCCTTCCTCCAAAACAACCCAGTCCCCCTGGGCTCCAAAAAAATAAACCAAAACCGTCTGTTACATACCAAGCTTTCAAACGAGTGATGAAAAATCAATCTAACCGCCGGGAGCCCCATGCATACCCTCTAATTTTTTTCAACATTCCCTACCAACGAATATGCCACCTTTTT